TCCCGGCCACCGCAGCCTCGACCTGCTGGGCTCCGGCGATCCTTCTGCCTCAGCCTTCCGAGTAGCCAGAATTACAGCCGTGCGCTGCCACGCCCAGCTAATTTTTTTTTATTTATTGTAGAGATGAGGTCTCACCAAGTTGCCCAGGCGGGTCTTGAACCCGCGGGCTCAGGCAATCTACTCACCTCAGCCTCCCAAGGTGCAGGATTACAGGCTGAGCCACTGAGCCTGGCTGGGTTTCATTTTGAGGTGATGAAAATGTGGTACAATTAGACTGTTGTGATGGTTGCATGACTCTATGAATACACTAAAAAAAAAAAATCACTGAACTATAAAATTTACATGGATGAATTTTATAATATATGAATTGTATCTCAATAAAGCTGCTTTAAATCAGGACAAAATTGGACTCAAAGTGTAAGTACAATGGTTGTTACAGGGCAAGACAGAGGACATTTCCTCTCGAATGGAAATATAATAGAAGGGGACCATGAGAGTGGTAAATGTAAAAATGTGGGGCCTTGTGTTGAAATATCCTTACTCTCTTCACCAGATTTCAGGTGTTTTTAGAAAGCTTTCCTATCAACATCTCATAAGTTTTGCCTTCTCACAGGCCTGCTAAGTGGCTACCTGTTAAGGCCTACCCAGAATGATTCATCGTACTCACCTGGACACAATTCTTTTGTGTCTTTCCTCTTAACCATCCAGGGCGCTTTCTCTTGCTCCAATAAGGAGATCACATTTGGCTTAGTATCAGAAAGCCCTGCTCAAGGAATAAAAGGAACAAGGTTTGGTTGTGGGTGTCAGAATTAAAATCAGTCCATAACGATCAAGAAAGAGGACCAATTATATTAAGGGTCAGAAGAAGGAGTGAAGGTCAAAGGAATAGGGAAGATAAATATGCCCGATGGAACAGTCTATTTCCAACTTCAGAAGAGACAAACCATTTTTTGGTGAGTAAAAATCATTAATTCAGCTAATTACTTGAAAGCACGTATAAAAAACTCAAAACAAAGAACATACGGATTCCATAAGGTCAATTCTGAATTTTGGGGTGACAGGGTAGAAAAACTTACCCAGTGAGATCAGGTTGTTGTAATTTTCCAACATAACATCTCGGTATAAATCCTTCTGAGTAGAAAGCAAACATTCCCACTCCTTTTGAGAGAAGTAGATGACCACATCTTTGAACTTCAAGCCCTGAAACCACAAATAAATATACTATTTGTGAAATTACTAGATAAAATATTTAGGACAGTATAAAAGAAAAGGAAAAAGCAATTCAGTAGAGAAGTTTAACTGGGAAAAAACGTTGTGCTAGACCCTTCAATGGGGTTGGGTCAGTGTAGAAACAAGGGTGATCAGTGTCAATGCCCACATAGTTCCTGAACATGGTTACTGCTGCAGATGTTCTCTCTGGGCACTTTCATTATACACTCAGGTCTGGGAATAAACAAAATCAAGATATGTGGTATTTCCCAATTAAATGAAACTGTGCATGCAAATACATAACACACCCCATGTTCAGCACACAACACTTCTCATTGCCTCCTTCTCATTCTCTCATTCAAGAAATTAAATCCTAATCACTTTTCCATGTTACCACAAATTTTAAAATACATTTCATTTTTACTGGCTGCATGATACCTCATCTTATGTATTCAATGTTCTTATTTTGCACACTAGGTTGAAAAAGTTCCCTAAGGTTCTTTTGCAGTTATGAGACATAATTTTTCAACGGCTGGCTAAATTGTTCCTCTTACCACAAAGTGTCCCTAACTATACTTTCCTTGTTCCTGAGCTACCAGAACTGATGAATAAAGATCCAGACCAACAATGTGACTCAAGGTGTGCACACAGTACACAAGTCCAAATGGGCCCACTTATTAGCATCCATTTGGCAAAGACTCCTTGGGAACATTCCATATCTCCAGAGAGCTAGAGATATTGGTAGATACTGACACAGCAACAAAACAATATACATTCCCTTTTTATCGCATTGGAAAACCCAAGTTTGCAACATGCGATTATTCCACTTAACCACTTGCTTCCACTTCATAAATTAAGAGGGGAAGTCTAAAAATTTCCAGCAAGGGTCAGTTTTCCTATTCCATCAGTACTCTTGGCAGAAGGATACCCACTTAAGAAATGCTAAGTGGTTTGCTGATGAATACTTAAACACTTTTTGGAGAAGAGAGGGAAATTTTAGGGACAGCAGCCAAAACAGTATTATTGACTAGAATAGGAAGAACGGGAGTAAGTTCCCAGAGAGAGTTGGGGAAGCAGGAAGTTTCAGGAAAAATAAATCTGCTGTCAAATCTTCCAAAACAAAAATAATGCATTCAGAAACACCAAGCAGCATAGTGGTTACCAGAGGTGAGTGAGTTGGACAACAGGCACTAAGTTATAATTAGATAAGAGGAATAAATTCTGGTGTTCTGCACAGTAAGGGTGACCATGGTTAACAGTAAAATATTGTGTATTACAAAATAGCTAGAGGGAGAGAGGCTTTGAATGTTCTAACAAAAAAATGATAAATGTATGAGGTAATGAATACACTAACTACCCTGACTGAATCATTATACAACATAGATGTGTATTTGAAAGGACAAAAGACCAAATGGATTCAATTTAGCCAAAGAGCAGTCATTTTAACACTGCCTGATTCTGTCATGCTTTTTTTTTTTAGCAGTTTACTTTAATTTACCTTCTAATCATTAGCCAAGGACCGAACTGGTTTTCCAAAGGTAGCTATTGATAATCTTACAACTGCCCCCAAGCCTGTTTTGCACTGGTTACTTTTCTATTTCAAGTATTTATCTTTCAGTCATAAGGAACCAGGATGACCTAATCTATTGTGATCAGCCCTTTGTGATCTACATGACACCAACAGACCCTGTCATCATGGTAACAGTTGTGTGACTAACCCATCCATCCGCCTGTCACCCATCACCATAGAGTCAGTACCTGTGCTCACCTGCACCTTCATGATGACTTAAAACAGACCACTACCTAATCCCCTTAATGACCGGCCTCCATCAGAGGAAAGGCTTAGAAAGCATTCAACTTCAAGCAGTGGAGACCATGCTTCTCTTTAAGTTCTGGCCTCCTCCCCAGTCTGGGGAGGTGGATCTCCTCTGTCTTTCTCTCTCTAGCCTACTTTCTAAATAACTTTATTTCCCAATCTAATTGATGAGCAATTCTTTGCATCTTACCCATAGCACTGGCTTAGCACACTGACCCACTGACTAACCATTTCCCCAGACCTAATAGTGTTGAAAAATCACACTGTATCCATAAATATGTACAATTACAATGTGTCAACTAAAAAAAAAAAAAAAGAAAGAAATTAAAAAAGAATGTATCCAATGAAGGAGATGAGAAATACAAACTTATGTAGATAATGGCTTTTATGACTGTAATCCTGGCTTTTTCCTAGAGAAGCCTGAGAAAGCAAAAGGAAGAAAAAGTAGCCTCGAGTCACCAGACGGACCTCGGAGTCCCCAAAGGAGTGAGTGAATTCCTCCACCCCCCAGCCCTCCCATTCCTGCTTTTGGCATCCCAACACACACACACACACACACACACACACACAATGTTTCTCTCTGAGAGATGTGAGAAAAAATGAGCAAACCTTTGACTTCCTTGAGCCCTAAGAAGTCCAATTTTAGCAGAATAGATTAAAAAAAAACAACTTGCCTACTGTGAGGAGCTGCTCTGATCTGCCCTGGATAGACTCTTTTTCTACCCCTTGGAAGACACCTAGACCCTCAGCCACTGAGGCATCCCAAAGACCTACAAGAACTCTTAGGCCCAGGAATACAGGATGATACTGGGCAGGTCCAGTTCGAGAGACAGGTGTCTACAACCTACTGGCCTCCCGTAAGCCCGCTAAACTCCATTCATCAGCCACTTCCTGGGCACTGTTCCCACAATCCAGAACTGAGGCTGTCAGTACCAAAACCATGGTTCCCAGAGTCCTTGTGGCCAATACATCCTGGTTCTAAACTGAGATCTCTCGTGGTTTTCTTGCCTGATATTCTCTTTATCTCCTCTAATTTTACTGTCGATAATGCAGTGCTCACTGAAGTGTATTTTGCTCAGGGAATGTCTGCTGAGCCAGATGATAGTAAGCTTTCACATTCATGATCTTAAGGATCAGGGAGAGAGGCGACCAAACCAACAGCTGGCCACAATGTCAGTCTTATAGGCTCCACACTACAAAGACTTGGGACCTTTAGGACCACGTCCTGAGAATAGGGAAAACTGCCTGACTTGAACATTGGCAGCTGATGGAAGGAAAACATTCTTCCCCAAGGAACTGTAAATACAAGCTAGACCTCACACAGGTCTGCAGCTTATATTCACAATACTAAGGTGGACTTAAAAAAGTTGCCATCTCTGTGTTTACTTTAAGGTAGTTCTGACTTTCCAGTGCTTCTGATAGAAGCAAACAGAGATCTGCCCTAGATCAACAACCTTTAATTAGGCCTCAGAAATTCATGGGTAGAATTCCAAGGAAAATGACTTATGCATCAAAATAAAACAGCACAACATTGCAAATGCACTAAATATCACTAACCATACACTTTAAAATAGTTAAATGGATGCTATGTGAATTTTGCCAGAATAAAAAAATTAAATTAAAAAAACAAAAATGAAACACACAAAGTGGTGTTGAGAGGACAGTAATAGACTTAGGTTAAGAGCATGCTATTGAGAGACCCAAGAAACCAAGCAACTTAAAAAGCCATACTTGCTGTAAAAGTAGTGTTTAGTTCACTATATTTCATATATCCCTACCTCATGTTTACTATATATTTTGTGTATTCCTACCTCATGTTCATTATACTTTATGAAATCTTAGTACTTTAAATCCTACCTCAGACCCCGTAGAATTAGGCATATGTCAGATGCCGGGTAGTGACTGATTGTGTAGTTATAATGGCTTAAGTAGTGTTTGTATTTAGAACTCTTGGGTTAAGCATCGTCAGTCCCAATTGCCATGCTGACTTCTGCTTTTACAACGGGATGTAAATGTTAAAGTGATAAGCTCCTTTCAGACATTCCTTTGCTATCGCAGTAGACTCTGAGGCGCTAGCTGCTCTCTAGGTGGGCTTTATGTTGATTTAAATCACTGGCCTCCATGCCAGTGTTAATTTACACGCAGTGGCTATGTAAACTTGAAGGAATCAAAGACCTTTACAAAAACCGCCTTGCTATAAGACATTTGTGATATTTTATAAATTCCCAGAACTAGTACTATATGAATTTCTACCCCACATTCACTGTATGTGTTTGCAGCATTCATATTTAAAACTTTGTTAAGTTTGGCTTTTGTTGTCCCATAATGACCATGTTATGTTATGTAAATATTAAGCAAACAAGCTTCCCTAAGCATTCCTCGGGGTGAGTCAGCAAACTTAATGGCTAATGTAACCTCCAGGTTGCTCAGGTTACTTTATACGCAGTGAATCTAACTTATCTGACATTCCACTCTGCCCGTTAAGTGGGTTTCTGTCAATCACGGGCAGTCAGGTTACAGCCCACGAAAGGTACCTACCAATACCAAGTGTTCCAGTACCCATTAGGAGAAATTATCCAATCATGTAAAATCAAGTTTAAAGTTCTTTCCCCTCCCTCTGTAATTGTGCATAAAAACTGCTTGCCATACTGGATCAACGCTCTGGTTCATGAAGCCTCTACCAGCTTCATGCGTGAGCCCAGACTCGAGCCTGAATAAAGACCCTCATGTGTTTGCAGCGGAGCTGGCTCTTTGTGGTCTCTCTCTCTCTCTCTCTCTCTGATTAGAGTTCTGGGTTCAACAGTGTAATTACGTTATGAGCAGTCAGGAAAATCAGACATGCAATTGTTTCAACTTTTCATTTATATTTGAAAACGTCCATGATAAAATATTGGAGAGAGGAGAAATCACACCTACAAAAGATTCATGTATTACATAGATAAAGCCAAAGAACATACAACAGGCATACTGCAGGTTTTTAAAAAGGAGGTAATAAAAAATAAAACTTCACAAAAATGAGGTAGATTTTAAAAAAGAAATCAAAACTTGTAGAACAAAAAACATATCTATACAATGGTTAGAATATCTCTGAAGAGAAAAAATACTGGGCTAAAAGATATAAAGAGATTATGCAAAATGCAATAAAAAAAGACAAATGAGAGAAAGAACAGAAGTTAAGAAGATAAAGTGAGATGCCTGAACAGATATATAACTGGAGTTCTAGAAGGAAAAAGGGAAAATAATTGAGAAAAAGGCAGTATTTGAATGCATAATGGCTAAGAAATTTTCAAAATTGGGAAATGCATTGTTCAGATTCAGGAAACACGATGAGGCTCAAACAGAATAAATAAAATTAAATCCATGCCTAGGCAATCATACCAACATTTCAGAGCACTAAGGACAAAGAGAATACATTAAAGCAATTTGAGATTAAAGATAGATTACAAAAAAAAAGTCTGATGGAGAAATGACTATTAGTGACAAAAATGTAAACCAGGAGATAGCAAAATATTTCAGTGTGCTGAGTAAATTTTCTCTCACAAATGAGGGCAAAAACCAAAACCAGAAACAAATTCACTAAGCTATTTACTTTCAGATCAAGAAAAGTGATCCCAAATGGAGGGCTTGAGATGTAAGAAAAAAATGGTGAACAAAGAAAATAGCGCATAATATACTAGTAAGTGAGCTTGTTAAAAACAAAGTGCAAAGTTGTCAAAAACCAAAGCTCAGCTATACAATGCATACAAGAGACACATCCAAAACATAAATATTCAGAAAGACAAAAGTAAGTTAGAAAAGAATAACTTGTGTGCATACCTAATAAATAATAAATCTATGTTACATATACATACACATATGCATAAATAAATTACCAACCATTCACCATAGCCTGGACCTCCTAGTCTAGACATAACACTTTTTTTTTTTTTGGGTTGGAGTCTCTGTTGTCCAGACTAGAGTGCAGTGGCATGAACATGCCTCACTGCAGCCTCCACAGCCTGGGTTCACGTGATTCTTCTGTTTCAGCCTCCTACAGGTGTGGACCACCACACTTGGCTTAAAAAAAAATTTTTTTTAACCAACAAGGATGCCTGAACGATGCATATTTGTATACCTAACCCTTAACTGTACCCCACAATTTTAAAATAAAAAATATGTTTAAAAAAAATTTTGGGGAGGGAGGGGCAAAAACAAAATTTTTTTTGTAGAGACAAGGTCTTGCTATATTGTCTAGGGTGGTCTTGAATTCCTAGGTTCAAGCAATTCTCCCACCTTGAGCTCCCCAAATGCTGGGATTACAGGTGTGCGCCACTGTACCCAGCCAATGAAAGCAGTTTTAAAACAACAGTTACAATACAGTGTGATAAGGATTATAACAGATGAAGCAATTGGGACTGCAGTCACTCAAAGTCACCAGGCATAACCAGGAGACTGGTGCAGACTTCATAGATGCTGGTTCTTGTGCTGAGTCCAGTAAAACCCAGAGAAAGGCTTTGTGAGGGATAAGTGCCCTTCTTGTGTTTCATGTGCAATAAAGGCAAGAGATAGCACTGTACATTCTGGGAACTGATAGTAGTTTAACATGACCAGAGTAGAGTAACAGAGGAAACAGAGACAAGGCCGAAAAGAAGGATCAGATAATGAGACACAGTCTTGTTCTCACAGGTGAAAAGACTTAACTGAGAGGTTTTTAAGAAGAATGAGTTGGCTCCAATTAAAAGAAGACTCTTGCTACAGGAAATGAGGAAACAGTGACTTACTTGGCTTGTGTGATATGTGGAAAGATTCATGTAACATGCAGAAGATTAATTGGGCCTTCAAAAAGGAATGGAATTCCAACAAGCAGGAAACAGACTGAACAGCATTCCAAGTAGAGTGAACAGGAGAAGTTGGGGGTAAGAAGGGAGACTAATTGCATCCTGTGTGTCTGAGGAGAAGAAAGTTTACTGGGGTAACTGATGGGGAGTTCTAGGAGAGAAGTACTGCACAGAGAAGTAATGTTTGAGAACTCCAAAGGGATCAGGACAGAAATGTTTTGAATTACAGTTATCTCTGTCAGGACTAGACACATCATCCTTACCACTTTAATACTAGGCTTGCTCCTCTATATTCTAGCAAACACCACTGTGTTTGCTAGTAAACACAGTGCTTTTTAGTAAATATGCAATGAATGTGAAAGAGTTTTAGCTTTACCCTGAAAGTAAAGGGGATTTACTGAACAAAACAAAGGAAGTGACATGATTGGACTATTTAATTGGCAAGGAGTAAAAGTAGAGGCAATTAAGTGGTTAGTGCACTATCTACTCCCACAAGGTTTGTCCTTACACAAGACAATGAAGCGAGGCCAGAGGGCAAAAGCTCACAGAGCAGGAAAGGAAAAGAAGCCATGAGACTGGGCACTTCACTAGATGTTGGAGAGACCAGGAGGTAGAAGCTGGGGAACCGTTTGCCAGTGTAAACGTTTGCCAGTGTAAGTGTACATTCAGGTGACTTTCCATTATCAACACAGTTCCCAAACTTTCTAAGACCACATTTTTCAGAGAAAGCTATGAGGAAGCCCATGGTCACCGAGCTAGTAGATGGCAGAAATGGGATAAGTTTCTACTCTTTGTTACAATGTATAACGTCCCATTTACAGGGACAAAAATGGCAATCAATACTTTGAGGAAAGGAGAAAAGTGAAGGAAAAATGGGCAGTTAAGGATTGAAGGGGAAGAGGGAGGACCTGAAGCTCTCGACCCACCAAAGTATGCAGGGAATGGATGGGAAGGGTATGGTCCACTTCTGACAATCTTAGGAAGGTTCTGGCTTAATGGGGATGGGAAGACAACAAATTCTCACAGAATTCTGAAGAAAAGTCAGAAACAAAGAAAGAGATTAACTTAGAACAGAAAAAATATTTCTTTAGTCTTTATAGTGAAAGGAATCCTTGAGAGCTGATTGCCAGAATTAATGAAGGAAATGCCACACCCAAACACATCCAGAAAACAACCCTGAATTTCACATTTTACAAACACAATGCCATTCTTTAAAATTGATTACTCCAAAGTCACTAGAAAAAAAAAATAAACACTCCAAATTAGGAATTTTATAGCTAGCATTATCTGGTCAGATAATTGATTTATGTGAATGCATTTTTGAAAACTAAGTGAGTCTAAAAACATGCACAAAATACACTGAAAAAATATTTCTAAAATAACTTATAAATGACAAAGAGGAAATATGCTTAATGTATAAACTGTTGAAAATAGACCAAAAAATATAGCATTCTTTGATGTGTGGGCAAAGAAAGTCAGTGGACAATTTAGAAATCTCAACTCTCCCATTTTAAACTGTGTAACTTTGGGGCAAGTGACTTGATTTAATCAAATCTATCTCTCCATTTGTCAATGTAAACTATTATCCTATTTCATTGAATCTGAGATGTCAGTGATTATAAAGCCACTAATACTTTATATACCGAGAAAGAAAAAAAAAATGCCATCAATAAAACTATAACTTGCCAGCAACTGGTAAAGCCCATGCTGGTTTCAGACAGGTTGAAATGTGGGGAAAAAGTGTATCACAGATTTAATGAAATATAGTTATATTTGTTTCATAGTGTTGTTATATGGATTAAACAAGATCACATATGTAAAGAACTTCCAACTATATATAAGTAGCTCAAGGCGCATGCTCAATGAGTTAGTCACTTCCATTAGGTGTATGAACTCACTATGAAAACAAAATCGCACACCCACATATATGAGCAGACAAAATAATTTGAAAATATTAATAGTGACTATCTGGATGGTAGGACCACTGGGACTTTCACTTTCTTAATAACTTTCTCAAGTTTTGAAATATTTGCAAGAATCCTATATCACTCTATTTACTAGAAAGAGGGCATTCCGGTTATTTCCGTCTTGGGGAATATCTGGAGATGAAGTGGGCAGGCAGCCATTCCTGGCTGGAAGAAATTGCAAGTGATCCTAGAGGTACAACAAAGAAATTCGTAGGAAAGAAGGACCTTACTCTTTCTTCAACTTGCTTGCCAAATCACAAAGGCATGTCACTGTCAAGACTGTTCCGAAAATGATCAAAATCCAGGGAAAGGGAAATTCTCCATCAGATGAGACAAAGTGTTTAAGTGATAGCACTGGAGCTGCTTTAGGAAAACTGCTCCATAAATGCAGTTTCCTTCTCTCTTCCTCTTTCTCCAAATCTCTAATGTAAATCTTTTGGCTAAATTACTGAAATACGATAGTGTCCTCAAAATCAAGAAGAAAGAAATGGCAAAACTTACCTCCACTGTGACTTTAGATGCACAACAGTTCTCTCCTCTTCTGGATTCTTAGAGAAAGAAACAGATGGAAAAGGGTTAAGAAATCATAGGACAACAGTCCCTTCCTGAAACCAAGAGGAGACCAATTCAGAACAAACCCCTGCCCCCCCCAGGCACTATGAGGGAGGTCAAAGAAGTCTGTAACCCAAAGGTGTCTAATCTTTTGGTTTCCCTGGGCCGCATCGAGTGACCTTTTAGCTTCCCAGGGTAGCATCAAGTAAAGAGGAATTGTCTTGTGCCACACATAAATTATATAATTAGTATATATACATAATAAGACTTAAAAAATATTTTTTATTATAAACTTTAGAAAAATGAGAACAATATGCAACTAGTGGGGAATTTGACCTTGTTTTTGTAAAATCAATCTATCAATGTCTGGTTCCATGGAAGTGGTCACAGTTCTTAGTTCTCAAGGTGCTCATCAAAAATGTTTGTTTGAATTTTGCTCTCCATGTGCTTCATAATTTAAAAGTCACTCACAAATGTGCTGCCAAAAAGCGATGTCATGAATGAGGCGTGATTATGAACTTAAAAAATGGAACTACGCATGGGGTCATGAAGAAAATAAATGCTAAATAACATGCTAAAAGATTTTGTGGGGCTGCATTACTAGCTGTGCTGGGCTGCCTGCAGTCTGCAGCAACAGGTTAAACATGCCTGCTATAACCCCACCACCCACTTTCAGACAACCCTGGGGGCCCAGACAGGAGTCTTGGGAGAGCCTCTCAGACCTTAACCTCCTTCCTTCATAAGAATCTGACTTGGTGAACTCTCAGGCCCAGCATTTTACACCGAGCCCCAAAGTCGGTGGCTCCAAGACACAGCCTAAGTGGACCCATCTGTCAGGGTGTCACATTCTTGGCCTTCAGGCTGGGGCACCTCTCTAGGCCCAGATCCCCTGGAGCTACAGGGTGAAAGAACAGAGAAGTGGAAATAGTACGGGTTGCCCAGTTCCCAACTCTAGAACCACCTCCAACCCCCACACACACCCAGAGATGGGCCCGGGGGGAGACCATTCGCTCTGCGTGGCTGCGGCAGTGTCGCTTAGGGCAGGGCTGGAAGGCACAATGGGAGCCACAAAGGCATCGACGACGCAGCCACATTGGGCTTACACGCACACGCACACGCACGCACGCACGCACGCACGCACGCACGCACGGCCCCTCGGAGCCCCCTTCAGAGCGGGCACCCAGCACGGCCCCGCGGGTGCACACGCTGCCCAGCGGCAGCCTCTGACGCCAAGCGCACAATCCGTCCAGGCAAAAGGCCACACCGCTGCGATGCCCTCGGTCGCCAGCTCCGGCGCCAGCCTCGAACCGCGACTCCACGCAAGCGCGGGACACGCCCTCTTCCGGGCGGCCTCGAAACGCCCCTCCACGCCGAGCGCGCGGCGGCGGCACCGCACGGCCCTCCCGATCGCCCGGCCCCGACGTCGCCCGGAGCCGCCTGTTCTCCAAACCGCAGAGCGACCGCAGCCGCGCGCCGGGGCGCCTCGCTGGCCACGTCTTCGGCGCCGCGCTTTCCGGTGTGATCGAGTCCGTCACAAACCCGTTCGCTAGGCTGCCCCGAACGGCCCGCCTCTGCGTTCGAACTCCTGCCAGCTCGCCACGGGCCGCTAGTGGACAGGACGCGGGGGCCTCTGGCAGCGCAGCCCGGAGGCGGGGTCCGGAGGGCTCCTCCCGGGCCCGAATCGGCCCTACCATCTTTCCGCCCACGGATTAAAAGAAGCCCAGGCCAGACCGCCCGGCCACGCCTGAGCATCCTTCCGGGACCTGGGCGAACCCACGGGCCAAGGCCGCAAAAGATGGCCGGTGAGCGGAAGAAAAAGGTTGGGGGTCGTGGAGGCGACTGAGAAATGCAGCCTCCAAACCCGGGAAGGGGCGGGCCCGCCGGGGCTTCCAGAGTCCTTGAAGTGAACCTGGCTGCGGCAGTACTCGCCCCTGACTTGTGGGGGAGTGTGAGGGTAGGAGGAGGGAGAGGGTGGTGTTGTTGCTGTGGTGTGCCCGTGTGCCCAGAGGCCTCTAAGAACTATAGTTAAAAGCCGGGGAGCAGACAAGGTTTGCTCCACAAGAAAGTGTAGGATCCGGAGAGGCTGACTTCCTGCCACGCCACGAATTAGGAGTCTTCCCTGACCTGGGCAGTTCAGCCCTTGGAGGCACAATTCCAACCAGGCCTGGCGCCCAAGTTTGGGCTGGGAAAATGCATTCCCCAGTCCAGGAAGCTGCTGGGAAGTGCATTCTGCAGTCTGGAGCAAGGCGATGTGCAGCCACTCCTCCAGACTTGGAAGCACCACTCACGCCAGGCCACTCTGCCTTGATAGAGGCTGGGCCTACCCTGGAGGCCTCTGGGAAATGACCTGGCCTAGCGAGTAGGGGATGTGGCAGAAGGGGGGTGGGGGGGTGGATGGCAGTGGAAAGGGCTGAAGGCGGTTGAAGAGGAACAGGGTCCAGAGTGGAAATAATGGAATACCAACGTAGTGAGATGCAACGTCATTATTTTAGGATTAAGTTGCAGAAGGATATTTAATGACAGAAATATATTAGAGACATACTTTAGGTGGGAAAAACATTACTAAATTCCATATGCCATGTCATACTGTTTTTAAAATTTTTATAAACCAACACAGAAAGAAAGGCACTGGGCAATAATATCTGTACATTTAATAACACTAACAATTGTTAACAGTAGTTAATTTCCTGAATGTGCAATTGTGAGTGACTATTTTAAGATATATTCTCTTATATTTTGGCCATTACAATTTCCTTCTTGTGAAAATTACTTATTATATTTTATTAAATATAAAGTGAATACATATTTCTAGTTCAAAAACTAGAAAACCAAATAGTGGGCTAAATTTTTAAAATTCACAATTTAGTTCTATAGGATAAATGAAGCACAAGAATGATAAACCATAGCAAAATAAAAACATAAACATTAGAAAATGAGAAAGGTTAAGCCATAGACAGAGTTTGAAATAATTTTGAGGCTATTAGGTGCAACTCTATAACCATGGCAGAGGAAACTGTAGATTTTCTAGAAAAGTTTAAATTATTAATTTCTACCAAGAAGTAGAAGTAGAACCTGGACAGAATAATAACCACAGTCAAATATTTTATTTTGAGATATTTAAAAATAGGTATAATTTAAAAAGTACCATATCCGGATGGTTACAGCTGAGTTCTAGTTAATATTTTAACTAATAATGATTATTGATTATTCAATTTATTTATATCCAATTTATTTATGGTCTCTAATGAATTTTTGTCTAACTAGCATAAAACCCAAAAGGAAAGTATTAATCAATTTCATTTGTGGTTTTAGATGCAAAAATTCTAAATAAAAAGCTGATTTCAATAGTGCATAAAATTTATATGTTATACTGAAGGATTTCCTAATGTTAGAAGAACTTTATGAAATCTAATGACAAAGTGCACTGCATAAACAAAGGAGAAAAAAGAAATTCATATATCAAATGATGCCAATAAGATGTTGTGGTATACAGAACAGTGCTCCGTCCCCCAGGATGTCCTAATCCCCAGAACCTGTGAATATATCTTACATGGCAAAAGAGACTTTGCAGATGTGCTTCAATTAAGGATCTTCTGAGATGGGAAGATTACCCTGGATTATCTGAGAAGGCCCAATAAAGATCCTTATAAGAGGAAGGCAAGGAGGTCAGAGTCAGAGAGATGTGACGACAGTAGCAGAGGTTGGGGTTGAAGAAGGGGCCATGAGCAAAGGAATGCAAGTGGCTTTTAGAAACTGGAGAGAGCTAGGCTCAGTGGCTCAGCCTGTAATCCTATGCTTTGGGAGGCTGAGGTGAGTGGATTGCCTGAGCCCGCGGGTTCGAGACCTGCCTGGGCAACTTGGCAAGATCTCATCTTTACAATAAATCAAAAAATCAGCTGGGCATGGTAGCGCATGCCTGTAATTCTGGCTACTCGGAAGGCTGAGGCGGAAGGATTGCTGGAGCCCTGCAGGTTGAGGCT